TTTTTTTTTTTTTTTTTTTTTTTTTTTTTGCAGAGGGGGGTTTCATGCTAGGAATTGAACTCAGGGCCTCCACACTGAGCTACATCCCCAGCCCTCTTTATTTTTTGAGACCCTGTCTTGCTCAGTCACTGAATTCTCCAGGCTGGTCTTGAACATGTGATCCTCCTACCTCAGCCTCCCGGACTGCTGGGATTTCAGGCGTGTGCCTCTGTGCCCAATTACTAATTGTTTTTAATATTCATGTTCTTTGAATGAAAAACTGACCCTCTAGGAATCAAGCCTAAATAGTTAAAAGTACCGAGAAAGCATTACTCAGATGAATATTACAGTCTTGTTTTTCAAGTAAAACATTAGAAATGTTGAAATTGCATTGGGAATCTAGAGAACGCCTATTACACAGTTAAATGGAAAGCAAATAGAAAACATAAATATCACATTTGCTGAAAATTGTCCCTCCGAACCCGTCAGAGGAAAAAGTTGAGTTGGGAGGACTTGCTTCTTCCCTTTACCATCCCATGTTTTCTGTAGAGTTCTTTTCAGTAGGAATAGTTTAAAATGTAGAGAAAACCACTAAGGACACTGAGGAGGCCGGGGTGTGTATGACAAAGAGAACGGGGGAAAGGCGTCTTTACCTAAGGAGCCACGAACGCAGCCTCCCACCGTGGTCCTTGGGGCCGCACCGTGCACCGCAGCACTTACGTGCGGCCGGGTTAGGCATGGTTGACACTTGGTTATATCTTCTCCATGTCTGTTTACTGTTTCTGTAATGAAACTTCCCCTTCTGTGCTCCTGCGCTGGCCTGGCCCTCGGGCTGCTGGCTGTGTCCCCAGCCTGTTATTCTGAGGCCAGGTCCTCTTGAATTGCCCAAGCTGGCCTTGAACTTGTGGCCCTCACTCCTCAGCCTCGGAGTACCTGGGATTCCTGGTGTGCACCACCTTGCCTGGCTGAGACAGTTCTTAATTTTACTGTTTATTTACCTTTCTTTGCATTGCCCAGGCTGGTGTGAAACCTCCTGGGCTCCAGGGACGCCCTCCCAGGTCGCAGGGGGCCGGGGGATGGGGGACAGGCGCCATGCCTGCCGGCTCCTTCTCAGTGTTTGTGTTCAGTGCTGGGCTTGGAGCAGAGTGCGTTGTTGTTCAGTTCTGAGCATGGAGGATCCTGCTGGACCTGTTACCCACCCTGCTCTGATTCATCGAAACGGACTCTGGTTTCCTCTATATCCACCCCTCCCAGCCTCCCTCCCCTTCCTCCGGCATAGATTTATTTTGAAGCAATTCAAAGCAGAGGTTGGCAAATTTGTTGTGTTGTTGTTGTTGTTGTTGTTGTTTTTTGTTTTTTGCTTATGGGTTTTTTGCCAGTAAAGTTCTTAAAACCCTGTGCAGTGTGGGGTGCAAAGTGAACTCAGTATTTCTGGGCGCGTCCGCGTCCCCCACGGCCCCCTCCAGTCTGCGGCAGTGCCCAGGTTGCTCCTGCCTTTGGTGGCAGCCTGTGGACCTCTGGGCCCTCAGCACCCAGCAGCAGCTCTCCAGGTACACTGTCTAACCTGGAATCCCTTCCTGATTATGTTAGTACTTTTTTAGCATGATCGTTTTCCTGGACACACTGAAATTGTGTGTCTTTTAGAAAAACTATTGCGGTTCATAACTGTTAAGCTTCAGGGTTTTTTCCTTCAGATAGTCGAAATTTTTCAGAAAAGGTAAAATATGAAAGCTCTCAACTCGCTTGTAAACAGTTAAGTGATTTTTAAAGATTATTCTCGGACAAAATTCTCTTAAATGAATGATTAAGGATTGTTTTATAGGCAACATGAAATTATAATTCATACACAAAACAGGTTTTGATATGAAGCTGCTATTGTACATTTTATGGGAAATGTTTAATGTTCCACGTTTCTGTTTATAAATAATAAAACTGAGGTTCTATTAAAATATTTGAATATGGGAATTTCTTGAGTATTTAAAAGGGAAAAAGCCATAGTCATGTGCGCCTGTGTCCCAGGCACACAGGCATCTGAAGCCGACGCGGTCCTTTGAACTTACGAGACCCAGGACCATCTTGAGTGACGTGAGAAGTTATCTTCAGATAAAAAAGAACAGGGGCCTGGGGATTTAGCTCCGGTTCGGGGTTCTTGAGTGACGTGAGAAGTTATCTTCAGATAAAAAAGAACAGGGGCCTGGGGATTTAGCTCAGCGGTTCGGTGGCCTGCCTTGCAAGCACAAGGACCTGAGTTCAATCCCTGGTAAAAAAAAAAAAAAAAAAGAAGAAGAACAAGAACTGAATCACTGGATTACAAAGTGGGGTTTCAGCCCTTGAGCACCTGAATCTTGGTGTACTTTCTTTGCTGTAAGGGCAGCATCGTTCCAACACCCTTGCGCTGTAGATGTGATTCTGTGACTCGTTTGTGCGTAGTCTGTATTACTGTGTATACTTAGCACACCTTGACTCAGTGTGAAATTGCCAGCACCACCGGAGCAGGAAACCAGTCTTTTGGTCCAGACTTTTTCCCCTAGGGTATCCCGTAAGCCATGGGAGGGCCCATAACTTTGTCGGACCGAGCGAGCATCGCGTAGAGGACGTGTGTTTAGTATGTGAATATACAATTTGCGTACCCTGTGAAGTCTGTGCAGATGTTCCCAAATCTGAAACTTCCAGGCCCACGGATTTGAGCCCCTGGTCACAGGTGCACAGAGGCGCTGACGCACAGGTGTGTGCCTACTCATCCCCTTGAGTGTGTGCGCAGGGTGTTCTTGACCCTTGACGTATAAAGTAGCTCGCTGTTTGATGTGCCCTGTGCCCTTAACAAGTAGTTTCTTCCACAATTTTATGTAAACTAAAGGAAAGTTAAGTGTTTGAAAGTTAAATATTTTACCAAGTGTGAGTTTGGAAGAGCTGTGTGTTGACGGTAATAGTCATCGTCTGTGTTGGAAACCGAGATTCCCTTCTGCCCTCCCTCCTCCCCCTCATACACCCGCGTGTCTTCATTAGAAATGCCCATCTCTTCCCAGTTTTCATTTGGGAAGGAGTGATTTTCTAATAGTCCGCCTCTTCTCTCTTTACCTGTGTGGAATTACATGAAAACTTTTTATGGGGGCAGGATATAAACATTAAGAGAGTAAGCCAATGACCAGGCACTTTTATGTAGAAAACTCTCTTGTGACACAAAAGTAACCTAAGTCAGGCAGTCTGGAAGATTGAAATGGAAGTCTGTTGCCATCTCAACTATACTTGTGTATTTCATTTTTTTACATTGAATATTTTATGGCTTTCGAAGTGTAGTTCCCAGGCCGGGTGTGGTGGCGCACACCTGTAATCCCAGCTCTCGGGAGGCTGAAGCAGGAGGATCGCTGCAAATTTGAGACCAGCCTGGGCTACACTGTTGAGTTCAAAGTCCAGCCTGAACAACACAGTGAGGCCGTCTCCAGATAAGGGGGGTGGTCCCAGGCTGAGCATGTGGCTTAGTGCTGGAGTGATTACCTGGCACTGGTGTGATCCCCAGCCCTGAAAAGGAGGGGGAACAGTAAAGAGTCTTCCCCGCGCATTGCCAGCCGTGTTTGGTGAGTGTCGTTCTTCTGCGTGAATCACGGACCGAGTCGGTTCCCTTACAGATCTTCTGCAGCAGTACCGCGCCGCCGTGTGCAAGCTGGGCAGCGTGAACGAGGACCTCAACGGCCAGCTGCAGTACCTGCACACGCCAGACATGAAGAAGAAGAAGCAGGAGCTGGA